ACATATGCTGACGATACCGCAATCCTTTCATCCAGTCAAGACACTCATGAAGCAAGCGGCCTGCTTCAAAAACATCTGAACAGCTTATCCCACTGATACAAGTCATGGAAAATTAAGATCAACGACTCTAAATCTTCTCATGTCATTTTCTCCCTCCACCCTAATGACTGTCTTCATATAACATTTGAGAACGCAATCATTCTTCATACAAATTAAGTCAAATATCTCGGTCTACTGTTTGATAGAAGACTCACCTGGGGCCCCCACCTCAATACTAAACGTAAACAACTAAATAGCCGCCTACACATCCTTAGGCCTCTCATGAAATCTAATATGTATATATCCAACTATTTACTACTCTACAAATCCTTACTGCAACCTATCTGGTCATACGGAATCGCTCTTTGGGGTACCGCTAAACCATCGAACATAAGAACCATACAAGCTTTCCAAGCCATCTGCCTCGGCATGATTGCTAAAACTTCTTGGTAGGTACGTCACATGTAGATCGTGATCTACAAAAGGAAATTGAGAATCGCTGATCTTAATCAATGTTTTTCAAATATACAAATATGAAGAAAAAATACCTACATATTAAATCTTAAATGCATTCAATCTAAATATTTATTGAACGAAATAAATAATCCAAATGCCTAGGTATCTAAAATAAACCAAAATATTTATATATATATAAATAAATAATTTGAAATAATATAATTTCAATATTTAATTAAAAATAATTCTGATCAATAAATTTAAATAAAATTTTAAAAATAAAATTTAAAATATAACAGAACTTTCTTAGTTATTTTAAGATCTATATAGATCTATAACTGAACGTGGCGTTTTGTTAAAAGTGACATGTCAAAGAATCCATACTTGATAACATAGACGTGAATGATAACGATAAGATAAGGAATATTTACAAGTAAACATTAAAACATTGAAGGTTTCTTCTCTATATAAAACAATAATATATTTTTACATATTTTCAAAATGTTTAAAAGACTAAAGGGTTCTATTGGAAAAATTGATGAACCAAAATCATCAAACTCTGTACCACAGGTAAGGCGTTTATTTGAAATTATAATGTATGGTATAGTTTTGGTACATTTGATTAACATTTAGAATCGTCCAGCTTGGAGTGGTTTTTCTACAATATCACCAATGAATTCAGAGATGGATGATTCACAATTTTGTATTGATGATGACATTGAAGGTAATTTTCATGTATTTATGTTTTTTTTTTTTTTTTTTTATTCAGTTTTAATTTATAGAAACACCCAAGAATTCTCCAGCACGTGTTGCCGTCAGTGAAAGTACTACTGTTGATCTAGGAAAATTTAGTCAATCATCATCATCATTAATGAATGATCAACTTTCTTTTCATGTAAGTCACTATTTAATACAATTAAATAATAATTTCCATCTGAAATTAATAATACATTATATTAGACCGATATTGAATCAGCGAGTGAATTAGATGATAGTGTTAGTGTTGTATCTGAGTATGCAAATGAAATAACAAAAGAAAATTTATATGCTGCATATAAAAAACTTCATGGACGTTACCATAAACATAAAATTAAGTATACTGAATTAAGTAATCATCTTAAACAAATATTAACATCTCATGATAAAGATAAGGTAAAAACATTTAAATAATATAATGGTACCTTTTTATAAAAATAACTCATCTTTTATTTTTAGAAAACTATGACAAAGGCTCAAGATAAACTACTTCAAAGAATTACAGAGCTTAAAGAACAGTGTACATTAGAACAAGCTGCTAAAGCCCATATGGAAGATGCATTAAGAAATGATATAGAAGAAAGAGATCACATAATATCAACTCTAAATACTAAGGTAAAAGTTTTATTTATTTTAAATTAAAAATGTTAGGTATCTAATAATACATTTGAAACTTAATTATAATTATGTATTTTCAATTAATTGAAATCTAAAATCTTCACAATTTATAAACATTTTATAGTATTAAATAACTTATTTTGTTTTATATTACCTATATGCTAATTTCATTATTATAATAATACTTCACAAGTATAATACATTTTTGGTTTCATCATTTTACTCTTAAAGTATAAAATTATATTATTGTAATACAGATTTTTATAATATGTTAAAAAAATTTTTAAAATAAATTTAATATTTTAAAACAATTTTATATTAGGGTTCATAATTAAGAATTAACTTATTTTTTATTTTGGATTTATAGATTGATTTATTGAGGGAAAATACTGGTGATAAATTTGAAAAAACATCTTCTTTAGATACTATTAATTTATCGGTATATAAATTCTATTAATAATTAAGTTTAAAAAAATGCAAAAACTAATTAACTGTTGGTGTAAATTTAAAGGCTAACTGTGAACAGTTGAATGAAGAATTGTCTTTAACAAAAGCAGAATGTGTATCATTAGAAAAACAAATTGAACTGCTAAAAAAAAGTGAAGAAACTACTTTACTAAGTCTAGCAGAAAATAAAATGGCTATTCATAAAGAACTTGAAACCAAAGAAGATCAAATTAAAAAATTAGAGAAAGTTATTAATGGACTTCAAATGGAAAATAAATTATTAATGAAAGGTGAAATTATTATTGAATTCATTTTCCAATTTTTTTTTTAAATAATAAAAATGTGTAATTAAATTGAATAATTGATGTACTTTATAGAAAAAGCTAGTCATTCATCTACAAATTCATATCAGGTTATATTATATCATTTTTAAATTATTAATTTATTTTTAATCTATTATACATAATATGTTTGTATGTGTATCATATTAGGTAAATATAAATCAGAATGTTCAAGAAGAAATAACTAAGCAATTGAATGAGATCGAAGGAGAAATGTCTTTGGCCTTTGAATTTAAAGAAAATGAATTAAAAGAATTAAGGAATCAAGTTAAAGTATTAGAACAGCGTTTAGAAGTACAAAAAGAAACAGATATTTCAATTGAGAATGTTTTAAAGAATAAAGAAAAAGAAATAAGTGATCTTAAATTAGTTATTTCGCGTTTAGAACAATGTTTAAATGATGATAAAGTTTCAAATTCAAAGAAAATTGATACATTTTTAAAAGAAATTGGAGAAAAATCACAAACTATTAAAAATTTAACAAATAAACTAAAAGAAATGGATAAGTTTAAACAAGACTATGAGAAAAATGAAAATGAAATACTTGATTTAAAAAATCAAATTATTCAAACTAAAAAAACAATAAAAGAAAATGAATTGTTGCGTGTTAAGGAACAAAATAAATGTATTGAAGAATTAAAACTAAAATCATTAGAAGTTTCTAATTTAAAAGAAGAATTAAAATTATTACAATGTACCTTAAAAGAAAATGAAATAAAATGTTTAAATCTTCAAAAAAAATATGATGAAATAAAATTTAAAAATACTAATCTAATAAAATCTGAAGAAGAATACAAATTGGAAATAAATAATCACAAAAAACTTAATGAGACATTACAACAGTCTATTCAACTAATAAAAAATGAAAAAGAAATGATTACTGAAGTTATGCAGTTAAAAATAGAAGAAAATAAATTAGAATATGATAAATTAAATAAATTGCATAAAGACATGTTAAGTCAATTAAATCAAGAAAAATTAAATAAAATTTCTGAAGAGCGTAGTATTGAGTCTGTTATTAAAGACTATAATCTTCTTACTGAAGAAAATGCTTATTTAAAAAAAGAACGACAGAAGATGCTTCAAACATTCCTTGATATGTTAAAAAAATTTAAAATTGATTTTGAAAATTTGAAGTCTTTTGTAAAAGAGCAATTGGCAGAATGGTCATTAAAGTTTGTTGAACATGTAAAACAACTAAAGACCGAATACTCAACACAAATAAAATTGTATCATAATAATTTTATTGAAACAAAACAAAAGGTAAGAGCTATTCAAGAAGCTTTTCTTGCTGTAAAACTGGATTGTATACAAAACCTAGAATATTTTAAAATTGAAATTATTGAAAAATGCAATAAAGATGTTATGAATAAATTGTATCAAAATAATGAAGAACTCGGCAAAACAAAATTGGATTTAGTAAAACTGCAAAAAGAAATTGATCGTAAGTGTAATTTTACACCGTCTATAGTATATAATTATTTTTTATATTATTAGTTTTCTTTTCAATTTGACTATTTAATATGTGTTATAAATTAACAATTAAATATAGTTTTGTCAGTTCAATGATCCTTGAACGATTGATTATATCATTAAAAACTTCCACTATTTGTTGAATGTATATAAATATATGTATACATATTAATATCCTGTGAATGCAATTTCAATTAATCAACTTAATCTTTTTCTGAATAACAATTTAACCAACTTGTCAGTGGTTTGCTTAATAGTTTTGTTGTAATCATTCGTTTTGTTAACCACATTTTTAAATTTTCTTTGGGGCAAGGAATGTATTGTTTTTTACTGTTGATTTCTTCCAGAAGGATTGCTTTAATCATTTATAGTATATTTTATTTAATTGGTATTTTCAGGAAATTTTTTTTGTAAAACATTGAACATTTAATACAAAATTCTATGTATGATTTTCTTGCAGAAAAATATCAAGTTTCTGGAGTGTTAATTTTTTTTTTATAAGTTAAAATTTTAAATTTTGACAGATTTCAAAGAATATTTGTGTAGTTAAAACAATGTATAACAATTTTTCATAGTAATAATTCATGCTTGAAAATTGAGTATAAAATTCCATAATAAAATTTTTTTTTTCAACAAAAATGTACTGGAAAGTTGCAAAAAAATGTATTAAGCATTAGATTATTTTATTAAACCAAAAAATAACTGTATGGAAGTATATAGTTATTAACTGAAAATTTATTAGCATTTCATAATTACATATACTATTATTACAAAATTATTTTGTAATTTTATTTATATAGCAATTTAAAATTTATTTAGACAAATAGAAAGTATTAAACTGTTGTTTAGGCAAATTAAACCATACTTAGGGGCCCTTTCTTGGGGCCTGGGCTCTCATCCAAGTACCAAAAGTTTTTGTAATAATGATACATCTATAATAATTTATTATTCATGTATGTTGGATATATAAAAATTAAAAGCAATTTTTACTAATATATTTATAAAAGGCCCCTTTATTTAGTAGCTGTCTTGGTACCCTGAGACTCATTAAGTTTATATTACAGATAGACTATCTGTTATATTTGTCTTTTTTTTACTTGAATTGTTTTTCAAAATCAATAGTACATTGATCTAAATTGTACAACACTAATTCACAATCAGAAATGGGTACTTGTATCTTACCCTTTGAATAATATTTATTTTAATGAGGTCCTTGAGAGATTGCAAAAAAAAAATGGTTTGCAAAAGTGAGAAGGTTGCTGATTCTCACCATTGAATTATTACTCCAAAAATATGGATAATTATTTAATTTAAAATATTAAATAAATATAGAGTTATAATTGTTGTGTTTCATTAGATTATAAAAAGAGTGAACAACGGTCAGTGAAAGCAGAAGTAAAAGAAACTATTCAGGAATTACAAGAATGCATAGAAATACAAAAAAAAACTTTTACTGATTTACAGGAAGAATATTCTCATTATCAAGTGGTAAGTTTGAGTTACTTAAAAATCTAGGTACATAAATTGTTCGAATTAATTATAATTTGTTTTTAAAAAAGCTCAAATAGTTTTAAATAATTTTAATAGTTTATAAATGGTTTACATTTTAAATTTTAAGTGAGTGAGTATGAGTATTTATTATATTTAGTAATATATAATTCTTCTTATGATAAGAGCAGTGGTTTTCAAACTTTTTATAAATGTAACAGAACTTATTTGTAATTTACTTAACTTACATTTTTCATAACATTTTTATGGTATATAAATTTAAAATTCTTAGGTATATATAATTTAGTTGGAAATTTATTGTTTTTAAAGTAGAAAGTTAAATAAATTGTATGTAAACAAACTAATCTTCCTGTTGTGTACATGTATCTATTTAAATTGTTATAGTTAGTTAACGATGAATGGGGATTCGAATTACAAAAATTGTTGAGAAGGTTATGTCTGATTCAAAATTAAATGTTACAACAATTATGCCATATCATATGTACAGGTATATTGTAACACAGGTTGAAAACCACTGAATTCAAGTTCCATTTTTCAATTCTTAGATTACTTTAATGTAAACAAAATGAGGCAAATATTTATTATTAATTCTGACTTAAATAATTGTTTAACTCCATAAATATAATATTGCCCATTCTATGGTTTTAAAAATTAAGCAGATAAATATATTACCTTTATTAGTAATATTTATTATATACTCATTACTAGGCTTAGGGACTTATAGCTCTAAAAAATACCCAAATATGCACCTAAAAATAATTGTACATACGCTAAGATATGCCCAAAAAAATTAAATATAACAAATATATAGTAAAATTAAATATTTATTTAATTAGAATTTATATTATAATAAACACTGAACAAGTAATCGAAATTATTTAATAAAATAATATCTATTATCTGATATCGTCCATCAGACCCCTATAAACGGTCGATACAGGTTTATAGGATTATTTATACCTACACAAAAATTAAAAGTAGTAGTTTGTAGATAGCATATATATTTTTTCGATCATTCAAATATGTATGTATAGTTGTAACTTATAAAGTTATACCATATATGTATCTATATTTTTTGTGTAATTAATGTCATTTAATATTTTTACATTTTTAAAATGTAAAATAATAAGTAAAACATAGAAATGCCAGTTTCGTGAATAATATGATATATTTATAATACTTATTTTCCTAGAATGAAAAGAAGAAATGGACAGATAAATTAATAGAAACTGAAAAAAAATGGTTAGAAAAAATGGATAACTATAAAAAAATGATGGACACAGAACATAGAGATGAAATAGAAGCTTTAACCAACGAATGGACCAATGAAAGAAAAGTTAGAAAAATAATATATATTTTCAGCATTTCCTTTTACTTTTTTTTTTTTTCATTTTATTTTTATTTCAGCTGAATGCACAGTTTAAGAATGCTGAATATAAAAATGAAGAGGTGCTTTTTTATTATTATTTTTTCCTTTCATTTGATTTTTGAATATAAGACAGCTTAAAAATTATATTAATCAAGTTATAAAATAATAATTTATATTTTTAGACTCTTGAAAAAATAATTCAAGATGTTGAAACCACTTCACAACGTGAGGAAGTTCTCCAACGCCAAACTATTAAACTTAATAAAGAGCTATCCGAATTAAAAAAAATGTACAGGTAAATTATTTAGTGAATATAATATTCTTTAATATTATATATTTTTATATATTTAAAATTTAATTATTTAGAAACGAAGTTCACAGTAAACATCAAAACATTGATGGAGATAATGACAATGAAAAAGGTGGATGTGAAATGGAATACTTAAGAAATATTTTGTACGAATATATGATGGGAAAACAACCTATGGTAAATGAATAAATTAAGAAATTAACACAATTTATAAATTATATTAATAGTAAAATTAACTTTATCAGTTCAGTAAGCGGGACTTTGTTGTACTTTACTTGGTTACCAATGGAATTTTGACACTTCATTATTTTACTTGTTGTAATCAATGTACTCATAATAAAATCATCTTGGTATCATTAAAAATAAAATATCAATAATAACTAATAAATATTTTTATAATTCAGTGATTTTACAATTTTATTAATTAAATTATCCATTAATAGTTTATTGTAATATTTTTTGTATGAAATCATTTCTAAATAGATCATGGTGTTTATTATATATTTCTATTATAGAGTATATTGAAGTTAGGTTTTGTAAAAATAATGTATAAATGACAATAACTTAATTTTATAATTGTAGGAAGTAGAGATCATAGCTAAAGCATAATAAATGATTTTGAGGGCTTATAAAAATAATAAAAAGGTAATGCTACCTAGTCATTGGATCAAAACCTCTTATTACAACCAATTGTTTGTTATACAATTATGATTTATAACTGTTAGTTTTGTATCTATTTGTTAACAAAGACTTATATATTTTAATATTCATCTTATAATAAATACTCTTTAATATTAAATTGTTAAATAAATTATCATCCACATTTTCGAGAGTTAATATTTATTTTTAATTTGTTGTTGCTATTTAGGTTTTGGCAAAAGTCTTAGCTGCAATAGTAAAATTTGATTCAAATCAATTGAATACAATATTACAAAAAGAGGAACAGAAAGTTTCTTTGGTAAGTTTAATATTGTAATATATTTATATTTATATATATGTGATTGTTATAAATTATTATATAATGTTGGAGATGAGTGATACATTTTTAATTTAAATTCATGATACTTATTTTTATTTTTAACATTCAAATTGTTTTTCCTTCAAATATTTACTATTAAATTATATGGTTATCATTATATTTATTATTTATATATATAAAAAAAATGTATACATATATTTTAATAAAGTGTTATAAATTAATACATAATGATGTACTCATCAAATATGGAATTAATATTAAAAAAAAATTTTAATTTTTGATATTAAGCAATATATTTGTTAGCATCAAGGAATTAAAAATTGTATCACTTGTCTTACTTTACAATTTAATTGAATACACATTTTATTTTTATTTTAAAGTTAAAAACTCTTGGATTGTGATGTTAATAATTCAGAAGCTGTATTAAGTAAAATGTTAATTGTCATCTCAACAATAACTTCACCACACTCATTATTCTTTAAAAGTTTTCTTAAGCAATTTTTTTCTTAGTGCAATTATTTTATGGTAATTTTGTTTTTAAATTGTATAATGTATCATGTATGGTTGCCATATTAAGTAACTATATGTTAATATTATTATAGTGTTTAATTTATATAAGGTAATCTAAATAATGTATTATTATTTATATTGTTATTTATTTTTAATCAAACAAATAATATCAAATATATGTATGAAATAGCAATTAAACAAATTATATTATACTATTTAGTGTGTTGATGCTATAGATTTTCAGATGACATATATTATATTCAGTTTAAAAGTACAAGGCAGAATATTATCAATATATTTGCCTATATATATCTCAAAAAAGAAATCAATAACCTACTAGAATTGGAATTGAGTTCTAAACCTTCAAAATCTAACTAGATTAATATTAGGTCAATTTGTAAGTATTAATTAATCCAGAAAATACCTTCTACAGAAGGCTTACAAAAGTATAAGAAAATTATCGCTTTGGTCAACACTATTTATATGGGAACAAAAATAAATATTATAATTTGTAATTGAAGTGTAGACAAAGGCAAATTTACACAATTACGAGTATGTTTAGAAATATAACTATGTATAATATATAATGGTATACAAAAACTTAGAAATATTCAATTATTTTAAACAATAATATTACCTATATTCAGCTTGAATACCAAACTATTTTACAATTAATAGATATTCAATATTTATGTTGAATGTTAAATATAGTTTAAATATAGATTAAATTTGTTATATTTTTTTTTTAACATAAATTTAGGCTGATTGATTATGATAAAATATTTATTAAAAATTTCAAATATGATTTTCTACAAAAGTCTGTAATAATCGACAGAAAAAATAAATTAAAACATCAAACATTTTTTTTTACAATAATTGAGTTCTTATTACTTTATAGTTGTATCCTAGTAATCTAAAATAATAGCACATCATATTACAATTAGCTTTTGTTGTTTTCATTTTTCAACTTTTTCTCGAGGTATGCTTTTCTATAAGTCAAGGGTAGTTCTGAAAACAATGAAATGAATGAATGTTTGTTTCCATTCTCAGAGTATAGCTGATCTCCATTAGGTACAATATCTCTTAGAGCTAAATTTCTTTGAATTAGTTTTTCATAATATTCTATTCCACCATGAATGTATTCTTCATTAATATTACAAAGTTTTTTATCAGCTTGAATTTGATAAAAGTTTTCAATTCCAGTACGTAATAATAAACATATAAATACTCCTACATTACATAATAAAAATAATGCTAAAAATCTAATTTTAATTGGGTTGGCTGGTAATAAATTCAGGATAGTATTTCCTAATAAGTACATTGGTATTGAAATCATAGACCATGAAATAGACTTAATAAATATTTGAGAATTATCGGTAAGAATTAATTCTCGAGCAATGCTGTATTTTTTAGCAGATTCACTGAGGTTTAATGAATCCATAAATTTTTTGCTTGATTCAGAGTTTTCTTTCATAAGATAAATATAATCCTATATAAAAAAGAAATTTAATAACTAATTTTTTTTTAAAATAATTAATTCTATTCAAATTATACTATACTTGTAGTTCTAAATTTTCAGCATTTGAACTTGAAATAATATCATTTAAATCATAATAGCTTGGAATTCCTATATAACAACCAGTACGGTAATTTATACAACCAATATTAATTGGATCAAGTCCTTCAGCTACAAATGGTGTTGAAAATATTTTTTGAAAATCTGTAAGCTTAATATCACGAGTTACATCATCATGTAATTTTCGAAGTGATTCACTAAGTACAACAGGTTTTTTATTTCTGAAAATAGTTTGAACAAAATTAAAGCTTTTAATTAAAAATACAAGATAGATACCAAGACAAATATGATAAAATATTGAAAAAATAATAATCATGGTATGGATTAAAGGTATTTGTTGGTAATTAATGAAGGTAAGTTTTTTAAAATAATTTACAAAATTATCCTACACTAAATATAGTATATTTTTAAAGAAAAATTAATTGAAATTAGCACATAATTTATCATTATTTCTTAGTAGTTTTACAGAATTTAATGAGTTCAATTTTTTAAAATTACTTCATAGGTAATATTATAAAGAATTTGATTGTTTTTCCTTTAAACTAATAGTATGTTAAGGATTAATACATTTAAAACGTACTTGGTTGCTTCTTTACAAACTTGAACATATAGTTTATTAAGAAATACGTTGGCAGTTAACTCTGTAAAACCCGCACCAATGGTTATAGCACATAAGCTATTAACTAGAAAATCTGAAGTAACTCTTAACTTGAAGAATTTATTCATGATTTTTGAAATAGAATATAATTTTAAATTAATAATTTAATAATTCGAAGAAACTCTAATATTATAGCAAACTCGGTTGGAAATATTATCACTATTCGCTAATCACAAATACGCATTCTGCGATAAAAGTAACACAAGTAATTTGATTCAGTAATTATCACACCTATCACTTTATTTAGTTCAATTCAGATCCAAGTACCACATGTTATTTTTATCACTATTTTCGGTTTGTTATATTAACGGATTTTATTTTATAATAAATATTCATTAATACACAATAAACAATTAAGATACATGTAGCTAATTTTTAATTACTAATTAATTTGAGTAAATTTGTACAAACACATCAGATTGCTGTTAAGACAGTTCAATTGTTTTATATCGCCTATTATCGATGAGAGCCAGCTTGGTTGCCGGCCGGCCGGCCGGCACCCCTACCATTTACCACAACTCCACCCATAACCATATCGTACCAATAGTTGTTTATCATTTTGTTTTTTCTTCCTTACACAAACCATAATTTTTAGTAGAGTGGTTATTTTAACCGCCCATAATCGACTCTCGATTCATTTGTAAATTTGTTGCCTCTGCGTTGATCAATTTGTTTCTATGAGATTTTTATCTTTCTCATGACGATAATTTTTTTACTGTAAAACGCAAAACAGTGACACATATAAATACATTTGGACATCCGGGTTTGCAATTGTTTTCACGGTGTGTTTTTGACGGATGATGACTCTTGTTAATCACCAGTGGCCGTTGGTATCGTAATGTGGGTACTTCGACAAGTTATTGATGCCTTCTGGTCGCCGGACATTTGGTTACCTCCAAATACCAAATGGTCAGACTTGGAACCAAATGAACGGGTGCAATATACTGATCATCGACATCTGTTCTATCCACTACCTATGGCAATTGTTGTACTACTAATAAGATATCTTTTAGAAAAGTATGTGCTATTTTATAGATATTTTTAAAACTAATCAACATCAAGCTTGGTATACAGTTAATGTTATTAATATTTGCAGGCATTGTTTTTCGCCATTAGGTGTATCTTTGGGTATTAAGAGTAATAAACCAAAACGAGCTCCAAATAATGATATATTGGAGGAGACATTTGCAAAAAATAGCAAATGGAATCATAAAGAAGTTGTAGGTCTAGCCAAGAGGCTTGATTGGACAGAACGACAAGTAGAACGATGGTTAAGATTGAGACGAGTTCAAGGCAAGCCATCGACACTTATCAAATTCTGCGAGAGCTGGTAAGATTAAATTATTATTATTGAATGATCCTTTTAATTATTATTTTAATATTTGTATTCCGGCATTTTCTTTTAATCTACAACTTTTACTATTGTTTTTAATTCCATCATCATTTTAAGTAATTTTATAAAAAATTAATTACATTTTTAATAAAATAAGTACTTTTAAATAATATTTTAATTCTTAAATTATTAAATAAACAATAAATAATGTATACATATTATTGTAATGCTTATATTTAAAATTTAAATATTTGTTTTAAATTTTCTTTAATTGATTAATCATTTTTTTGTTTTATTTATTATAACCAAAGTCAAAGGCCAAAGACTAACTGATAAAATAATATTTTCTATATGGCATCCCTTAATTAATATAAATTAGGTTATGAAGTTAACATGTTAAATACATGTTATGTTCTAATTAGAAAAATCTGAAGATAAGACAGCATTAGAGATGTTGAAATTTATTGAAATAAAATATTATGTATCTTAATTTTATAAAATTTGATATTATGTAGAAGTATTATCTTAAAACAATGTTTGGTATGAGTCAGTTATGGTTATTAATGTTAAAAGTATTGAATTATTACCTTCTGCATCAACCATAACAAAATTAATTATAATGTCTCATTTTATATTATTACTTATCAGTGAATTTATTCTAAATTTTATTGTATAATTTAATTTAAAGTTTATTTATTTGTTACTGTTAACTATAAAAAAAATACTATACACATTTTATTTTTATTTTAACATTTAATAAATATATTTGTTGATAAATATTTATTTAATTCTTTATAAAGTATACACTCTAAATTGCAAACTTATATCAACAATTATGAAAAAAATAACTTATGTATACAGTATTTGTAAGGCCAGAAGTACAGTGTCAATTAAGATTACAATTTTCATTAAATATACTATATTTAATATAGAAAAACAATAATGCATGACATAGTCAGTTTTATTTGACTTCTTACATCATTGTTTGAATTGAATAGTTAAAATTATTAACAAAGTGCTTCTACGAAAACAAGATGTATTACATCAAAATTACATAATATCTTTATTTCTAAGTGGCATATTACTAATTTACATATTTTATTTAACTCTGTTATACAATATTTGTATAAATATATCACACAATTATAATATATTCCATTAAAAAAAAAAAAAAAACATACATTTTTACTGTAATTAAATATTAACTATTAAAACTATCATTTCAAGTAATACATTGTATCAAAATAACACATGAATGATTTATATAAATTATTATATAATATTAAACTTGATATTATGTGATGAGTCATGGTTTAGGTGAAACCTTTTTTCCCCTATACATTTCAGTATTTTACTATTTATAAGATATGGAAAATATATTGGTGTACATTGCATGTTTTAATGTTATGAATATAGTAGAAGTACCTTATATCCACTAACTTCTTTCATATTAAGTAATAGATTTATTAGTTTTTATCAAATAATACAGATAAATATTTTATGAATAAATAATTTATGGAAATTAAGATTATGTAATCCATTTTTATCAATGTTGATTATCCATTTCTTCCTAAGACTAGGAGAGAAAATAATTATTAACATATTTATTAATCATAAGTATTTCTAATTATATAACTCTTTGAAATACTTAATCAGCTTTTTTGGAATGCATCTAAAAACATCTATTATATATTTTATTTTTTATGTTAAAGTTGTTAAATTGACAATAATATTTATCAAATTATAAATATTAAATTACAATTTTATTATATTTACAATTTTTGTTTATTTTAATGATATCTTGTGTATCATAAAGTTTATTATTTTATTCATTTTTGAAATAAATTAAATTATTGATTGTTATGTGTTAGGTATCTGTGTATACTTACTGTATTACAAGTGTATACTATGTATATACTATTTTTATTGTAAATTAATACTTAAAATATATTATTTATTTGTTTAAACAATAAAGTATTATGTATAATGATTCATTGTTTTAAATCCAATTCATTTGGAATGTTGGAATTCTTTAATATTTTATAATTTTTGGTTCATTCATCATTTTTATAAACAACATTTCTTTGTAGTATTTAATAATGTTTATTCTCCATGTTTTCTAGTAAGAAAAATCTGTACCATGTATTAATAAAAAAAATGAAGCTTTATAAATATTTTATATTATATTTTACATCTACGGTATAGTATGCCTAGCAGCAGCAATTAATTGAAATATAGGCTATGCATTTATTATAGTTTATATTTTATTGTATTTAAATATAAAATTAGAGTATTAGTTAAATAAGTTAATATATATTTTACAGGTGAAGGGTAGAAAAATTCAAATTTAGATAACAAATTTCAAAAAAACATGCTTAAATGTAAGAAAAAATAATAATTTGGTTTCATATGAATGTCATTTTAAGATTTTTTGAAAATAATTGAATATCATTATTTATTTTGTATGGTAAACACGAAATATTGACTTTCAAATTAATAATTACTTTAATGGTCAAATGGTCATAATTTTAATTTTTAATTTTTTAATTTAGTACTTTAATAAATTGTATTAACTATTTTTTATTTCCATGTTTTTTATACTAATAAAATAACTTGTAAACTAGTATTCACTAAAATCTTTATTTTTCATTTATATTACAACTAGAATTATTTTTTAATCAATTGATATATTATAAATATTTAAGATTAAAAATAAATATTTATTAATTAATTATTCATATGTGTTTATCTATATTGTATAGCTTATGGGTTTCATATTTGCAACCCAAATTGTGTCATGCTTTTTAACAATACATTTAATTTATTAATTTTAGTTGGCGATGCTTTTATTACACATTCTCATTCCATTATGGTCTTGTATTTTTATGGAGTAAACCCTGGTTATGGAATATAGATTATTGTTGGATTGGATACCCACATCAGGTAAACTAGCTATTAAAGGGAAAACATTTTTCTTTGATTTTTATATAGATAATATTTAAATTAATATTGCTTGTATTTTTTTATTAGATTTAATACTTATATTTTTATATTATTTTTTTATAGGGTGTCACAAAAGATACATGGTGGTACTATATGATTTCATTATCATTCTACTGGGCATTAGCTGTTTCTCAATTTTTCGATGTCAAACGTAAAGATTTTTGGCAAATGTTTGTTCATCATATATGTACTATATGTTTATTATCTTTTTCATGGATATGTAATTTTCATAGAATTGGAACTCTTGTACTATTAACACATGATTGTGGTGATATTTTCCTCGAGGTAACATATTTTTAATTTTTTATTGAATTTATCTAAGAATTATATTTTATTACATTAAATAAAAGTTAATATAATAACGAAATGCATATAAAACAAAAAAAATAAATTTTGAAACTTATAGGATCATAGGTTAAATAATTAAGATAATAATACTTCATGTAAACTAAAATAAAAATATAAAATATAATTTGTTTAATTAATTAAACTAGAGATCATTATAGTATGTTTAAATACAATTTTGGAAAATGAAGGTTATACTTTATAATAAATTTAGTAATTTAAAAAACTTAAAATTATTTAAATTATGTGTTCATTGTATCCTAAAATAATGATAATATTATTTTTTAACCTTCATTATATGTTTTGATTCATGTATACAATTGAACTGATATGAACAGTAATGATGGTAGCATTAACAATTAGTAATTATTTTACATGCTACTAACTAGTATTAGAAGATTTATCAATTGATAAATAAAGTATAAAAAAATGTATTGAAAACTATCAGATTTTTTTTTTTTTTTTTGTTTTATGGTTATAATATTAATAATAACCACTTCATACTGCAATTATGATGCTTTGAAATAGTTGTCTTATTTGTAGGGATTAGCATTGGCTTTACGTGTTGTACTACATATTTCACAGTGACAATAATGCAATTTGAATAAGATTATATATAATATATTATTATTAAACATTAGAATCAGAAAATGTAAGAAAAATTTAATAAATGCTATATATAGTTAAAAAATTCAATATTTTATATCAAATTTAAGTAACTCTTATGCCATGCATATTATGCTTGTCACTTTTTTTATAATTTAATAATTTTTCTTGATAATTATTTTCTATTTTATTTTTACAGTAAAATTATCTTTCAAAATTTTCTTAAATATTTTCTCACAAAAACAAAAACTTTTTTATTATATTGTATGGGTTGGTAGGTTATTGTGTAAGGTGATATTAGTGTTAGCTTGAGTGAAAATCTTAATGGAGGATATGCGTTCCTCTTAGTATAGAATTTCACCTCAGAAGCGCACCCTCCATGAGATTGGTAATAAATTAAATGGTGACACTGTATTTAAGTATTGCCTCATGCTCCTAGGCTGCAATATCCCTGATCTATTTATTGTTTTATTTTAATTTATATTTTTCTAAAGAAATAAAGATATAATCAGTTTAAGATTATTGTATTGCTTCTGTCAAAATAAATATTCGACTATCTAATTATGTATATGATGATTTTTTTTCATATTGATTAACTACAAAATAAAAACATTTTGAGAATGGTTTATGTTTATAAATGCCCTTATACCATACTGATAAAATATTTTACCAACTATTAAATATTTATAAGAGAAATGTCTGTCTTTTTAGTTTCTTGCATAAGTATTTTCATTTTTAGATTATTTAAAGTTCTGTCCAGTGAAACTTATTAAATCACTTATTTTATTTTACAGTGTGCAAAAATGGCTAAATATGCCAAATATCAAAAACTATGCGACTTAATTTCAGTGGTATTTATTGTAGTTTGGTTGGTTACAAGAATTGGTCTGTTCCCTTTTTGGATCTTATACAGGTTAATAATTTTTAATTGGTTTTATATCATTAAACATATTTTTAACTGTAACAATTTGATTTTAAATTTAGTACATCAGTCAATGCGCCAGAAGTAGTAAATCAAATGTTTCCAGCTTATTATATATTTAATGGACTACTATTTCTTTTACTGGGTCTACATCTTTATTGGACTCACTTAATTTTGAGAATTGCATATCTGTCGTGGAATTCTGGAAAAGTAAATAATTAAAAAAAAATTAATTTTGTAATTATATTTTATCTAATATTCTTTAACATTATTTATTTTACATATTTTTATTAAAATTAAAATTAGTAAATTTATATATTAATTAATAATTTTCTAATAAGTACTTAACATTTTCAGATGGATGGAGATATTCGTAGTTCTTCTAGTGACGAAATTACTTTAGATGATGATTCAAATATAAAAATAGATGATGATTCAAATACCAAAACAGATGATGAAATTATTGATTGGTTACCACCAAATGGCTTACTTTAAATTGTACTATATTTATTTAATCTTTGTTTTATTGAGTTTTGTTTTGAATCATTTCAAAAGCACTTTAGGTATTTATGTAAATATTTTTGTGTTCCAGAATATTAATCATATTATTCCCTATTTAACATTTTAAGACAAAAAGTGTTAACTTTATTATGAAAACAGCTACTTAAATGAGAAGTTTGTTTATATATTATGAATACTTAAATGTTTCAGATTCAGCTCTAGTCATCTATAAGCAAAAAAATTTCATACAAGATATTTACCATAAATATAACTTTTTATATGCAATTATTTTAGTTTGTTAGGTTTTAGTTTTTTTTATAAATATAATTAAATAATACTTATTCATCCCTCCCTTGCCCTTCATTAAGTAAACAATTTAAAACCTTTAAAAAATGTAATATGATATTTGTATTATTTATATTATATTATTATTTATGAAATAAAACAGTTTTTTATATGTTTTAAATGTATGTATGTATAAACGTATCTTTATCATGCTTTTTGGGCATTCCTTAGTACAACTTTTTCACCCACTAAATTATTGATTTAACATTACCTGGTACTAACTGGTACCAGTATAGCTACAGATATTGTTCTAGTAACACTATTTTTTTTTTATGTATAAGAATAAAATTAAAATCATATTTTAACAATGGGAAGTAGTGTAACGGAATCAATGTCTTCAGATGTGTTAGATTTGACAAATTTTGAAACACATGGACATTTGAGTCCTTTTGTGTTGACTAGCCCACGATCATTATTAGCATGCAAAAAGTCTAAAATTAAGGTAAGTTTAGTTGTTTATGCTTTTATGTTAATTTGATAATTTTAATTTCTATAGCCTAATGAATTGTTATACAAGAGTGCTGCAGACATTTCTAAAGATCTCAATGTATCAATTAGATTAGCTTATCCAGTTTATCAGCAATATGAAAAAATAAGACAAGGTAAATATTTAAGGTTAAATAAAACAATTTGTGAATTGATAAATTATATTGTTAAGCTTTTAATGAAAATTAATGTTGAATAAAATTTTATATTCATTTTAAATTCAAATTTTTTGAGAAATTAAGCAATTTCAATATTTTTGGCTTTTAAAAATGTGTTTATTTTAAGTTCTTAAACAATTCATAGATTTAGTTCTGTTAATTTTAATAAAATGATTTACATTTTTAAGTATGACATAAATCCATAGTTGATTATTTTCAGAAATATTAAAATAATTTTTTCAATCTATTGTGGTTATTGAAAAAAAAAGTACTAGATTTTATGTTAAGATTGTACAAACTTAAATAATCAATTTATTATAATCTCCGGAAAAGTTTTCTTTCTATTTGTGGTATTACTACCTTTTTACAACTCATTGAGTGCTCTGTTTCTGCAAATTATAATGTAAATTCCCTGGTGAACAGGTAAAGCTGGTTTAACTACTATGTCATTTAGACCAGCGATTCTCAGCCAACAACTTTTTTAGGGTCGCATCATGTGAAAAAAATTATTTCAAATCAACTACAGCAAAAAAGTCATTAAATTAAAAAAATATTAAACTTTACATCGTTTTTATTATTTTTTTTCTATTAATTAACACCAATCAGTTTATATAATATACTTTTTTTTTTTTGTAAAATGTATACACAAATAAATACAATAATAACAGTTTGTAACATTTTTCAATGCTTACATAACAAAAGGGTCGTTAGACATCTTGGTGACATTATAGGGGTTCGCGAAGTCAAAAAGATTGAGAACCGCTGATTTAGACTATAATTATTTTAGTTGTTATAATAATTTTCAGAAAGAGTTAATAATATCATTTATTACTAACTTTTTTAAGTTATCAAATGTTTTTTTGTTTGGTTCGGATCAAGTTTCGACAGTGGCGTAGCAAAGGTATGGTGAACTGTGTCTATGCCAGGGGTGCGAATTGAAATGGGGGCAACATTTTATAAAATTTGTATTTTTGTTCTATCTTCTAAACGCAATTATTCTATTATACTTTTTGAAATATGTAGTTTAAAATTTAATTGTATACCTACACTACGTATAAATTTAATGATGAAATTATGAAAAGAGCACAAGGAAATTCATATTCGAAATTGCACATGAAGAAATTATTAATGAATTCACTAGAATTTTACACTGTTATAATAACTAATATAAATTGTATTCTTAAAAAAAAATTATTAAAATTTAAGATCAAAAAAAATATAATTCCATCAAATTTTTAATTGTTAAAATACGTTTTTTTCTAAATTTCTGAAGTATGCTAGTCTTCCTACGCCATTGGGTCGAAATTGTATAGTCCTCGTTGTTAATTTTGGTTCAAAACCACAACATATTCATCGTTATGAACCCTAGAACAATTGACTGCTGATGGATTAGTTGGTGACTTAGTCCAATGAAGTCTTTAATTTTTTCTCATATCGTATAGTCAATATTGCTATTTTCTGTGATTTTTTTGCTATTTAGAATCTATTGGAAGATTAGTACTATACAACTATACAACATTTCTTTTCTGAAGCTTCTTATGATCGGAGCTATCCTTTTAGTCAAAATCGTGTACACAGACACAAAAGAAAATACATCATGGTAAAACCAATATACGATTATATTATATATTTCTCTTTTCACCCAGAATCTGAATTGTAATTTCCAACAAAACATTTTTTCTATTTTCAAAGTAAATAATTTATATCTGTTATAGAGTGATGCATTTTTAGTATCTTCGCATGTATTAGGAAATCGTCTTTAAAATTTAGAACATTAAGAATATTAATTAATATGTACTTATTGTAAATCTAATGATGCCTGCAGCTTTCTAATGCAAATATTTATGGAGCTGAATTGATTCCAAAATTGAGTCTTTCATACACTTAAATCCTACATGGATACTAAATATTATTATATAATTATTACCTTGATTGACTACCAAACTTTAACTGATTTAGATCAAGTTAAGAAATTAAAAATTTAGGTTCCTTTTTATAATACATTACTTCGAAATGTCAATTAGTTTCAACTATTATTTGCAAACTATGATATTAATTGAAATAGGTACCTCCAACAGCTATACTTTTACATTTATATATGTATGAGGCTTACTTACATTTACCTTTACAAAATTAATATAAAGTCATTAATGAGGTTCGAAAACATTGAAATACGATTTAGGTACCTATTTTATAATTATTTTTCTAATTTATTTAGAAAAACTTGAAAAATGTAGACAAGAAAGAAATAAACTTATGAACTGTGATACTATTGCTGGTACATCATTACGAAAGAAAAAAAATATATATACGAAAAAAGAAATGACAATGTATCGAAATAATATTGCTTCAAATATGCGACGCACAAAATCTATTCAAAATAAATTAAATGAAGATCAAAAGTAATTATATTTATCTTATAAAAAATAAAACATACCTATAAACTGTTAAGAATATGATTATTGTTTAGTAAATTTTAACTTATTATCTACTTCCTGTGCCGGATTGAACATTTGTGGGCTCTTAGGCAATTAAAATGTTGGGTCCTATAAAATTATTTTTTACATACATCTTTAACATTATTATCCAATAATTAAAATAAACAGCTTTAATAATAACCAACTATTATTAATAAATAAAATCATATTTATTACATTTTTTTACTTGCAAGAAAAATGAATTAATTATATTATTTCTACATTTTTCAAAATAATTTTATTATTATTACAGCATATAACACCTACAACTTAATATATATATTTAATAATGGCTTTTGACCCGTAAATTCGTAAATAAAATACAGGTATTATTGAATAAAAAAAATATATATAATTTTCCGTTTTCACAGGGCCTCTTGAATAAGTGAGGCCCCAAGGTGGACGTTTACTCCTCCTAATGGGTAATCCGGTACTGTCTACTTCTTATTTTAGTTTTGTCCTTTTATATTTTTGGCATACGTTTCTAGTAAAAAAATATGGTAATCCTCGTGAAGTATTAAATATTACAGTATAACTAACATAAGACTGCTGTAATTAATTTTATAGTTAAATTTTAAATTTTAAATTTTCTACTACATGAATATTTACTTTTTTTATTTTAATAAATCAATTGAACTTAAGTTAAAATATAAAATGTGTTATTATTTAGTTTTTTAAAACTATAAAAATTCTGTAATGATGGCATGATATAACATTATATCTATGTATGTATTAAAATAATTGTATACTGTATTAAAAAAGAGACATTTCGGGAAGGGGTTATAACCCGCTAATCATCCCCCTGGGCTACGCCACTGATTGTATTAACACATTTTGTAGTCTGAAATTAATACTTTAAGGCCTGGGATTATTACATTTCTATATTCTTAATATTTTGTAAGAAATGTGCTTATAAGTTATAATATAAAATATAAATGTTAGAAGAAATTTAAACTTCATAACAAAAAAATCAAAACGGAAGTGTAAAAAATCAAAAAGTATCAGTGATTTAATGGATTTAAAAGAATTATGTAAAAAAGTTGATCGGATTGCAATTCTTGAGAGATTTGAACCAGATTACACGACCGTTAAGCGGCCTTCTATTAAAAGACGTTTACGATCCGGAAATACTTCTAGGTATGTATTTTACTGTTTATCTTAATCCATTATTATTGCAATTATAAGTTAAGATTTGCATATAGAATACTTATTAGTAGGTACCAAACCTAACAACACATAAGTAACTATGAACTGTGATTTAAACAACAAAAATTTATTAAACGAAGTATTTGGGTAGGTATATTTGTTTTTTCCAATACCTACCATTATAATATATAACATGATATAATTATATCATCCATAATTAGAAAATAGTTACAAATTTAAAAATATGTTTTAAATAGTTCGATATTTCAAGATTTTTAAAATTTAAATTTATACTTTTACCATATAAAATTGTAAGGGGTTTTCTACGATCGCGCTAACCGAGAAAACTACTGAACCGATTTGGCTGAAAATTTTCAGTTTTATATTCGACACTCTGCTGAAGGTTTTAGTACCACTTTTTTTCAATAAAAATTAGTATAAAGTTCTTGAAAATTTAAATATTGTATACCTATGTTATATACATAAAATATAAAATCAATAATGTTGTTACTTAACTATTTATATTTTTTCAACACATTTATATGCTATTAGTTGCATCGATTATAGTAACAACAATAATATAAATAGTATTGTTATTTAGTTTATTATTTAATACGGCCAAAAACGTAAAGTATAAAATAATATAAAATAAAATAACAGTATACTACTGAAACTGAAGGCTGAACACAAAAAAGAATATGACGCTGAACGTATGAACAGTCGAGTGTGGTTCTTCTTTGCTATGCACACCGCTTCACGATCGTAAAGGTTACGCACTGGCATCAGCAAACTACGCCCATTTCGATCAAAGTTTGTGCTTAGTTTGATAAAATATACTTTTTAATTCTACTTATGAAGGTTTATTGGGCATGCTAATAAAGTTAAATTTCGGGTAAGTGGCCAATTCATCATCATGCCGAGAGCGCCTAGAGCACGCATTGACAGAAGAACAGCCAATGCTACTCGAATGTATAATAGAAGGTAACAAGATAACATACCAGAACGTTCTCAAATACTTGCACAGCAGCAACGTAACGCTTTGAGTCTGAAATCAGCGTTTAATTATCGATCAGAGATTGATTATTTAAATATTACAGCGCTTCAAATAGCTAACCAATAGCTACATTATGTCCTAAGTGCCATGCAAAAAAATGAAGAGATGAAACCCATGGACTTTGCTGAGCTGACGGTAGAGTTGTTTTACACTAATTCGAGGATCCTATAGACCTCATTTGTTGTATGGGATGAGTGTACAATGAGTCACAGATTACATATCGAAGGAATTGATCGAACATTAAAAGATCTTAAGTGTAGTAATAAGCTTATGGGTGGCATAGTATTTGCTTTTGCTGGTGATTTCTAATGCTTGCTTAACATTTTTCCCTATATGGAACAATATTAAAAAACTTTATTTGCGAACAAACATGAGAGTTTATATATAGAGGGGACGATATTTTTCCAGCACAATTGTTGAACATTGGAAATGGAACTTTAGAAAATGAAAATAGTTACATTTCTGTCAATTACACGATTAGACGGGTGGTAAATAATGCGGAAGAGTTAATTTCTGCAGTTTATCCTGACATTTTTAATCTGTCCAATAAATCTTATCAGTGGTTATGTGAAAGAGCTATTATCTCTCCGAGAAATGTAACAGGAGAAGAAATCAATTATATCATCCTAAAATTCGATGGACACTCACGTAAATATCTATCTATTGATACAGTTACATAACAGATGATGTTATTCATTATCCACAAGAATTTCTCAATTCTCTTTCTCCTTCGGGATTTCCTCCTTATAAGCTAAAATTAAAAATTGGTGCTCCAATTACATTATTACGTAATCTTCAACCACCGAACTTATGTAATGGTACAAGATTACAAATAAAATCGTTGAGAAATAATATTTTTGAAGCTGTCATTGTTACAGGGCCAGCAAAAGGAAATATTGCATTTATTCCAAGAATTCCCATAATTCCATCTGACTTTCTTTCAAACGGCTTCAATTCTTTGTTAAAGTTTCTTATGCAAATACGATAAAACTCAAGGTTAAACATTCAGATACGTCGGCGTTGATCTTCGAATAGAGTGCTTTTCATTTGGAAAATTATACGTGGGATTATAATTTTTTGGTTTACTATGGAATACTATTTCCAAAATATTCACATAAAAAAAACGAATAGGTAGTTCATATTTATTGATTTTATATTATGTCATCAGTGTTATAAAGTTATTTTGATATTATACCATAAAAGGAGTATTTAAATATCAGCTATATAATTTTTCAAATTTTGGAATTAAATATTGATTATTATATTTTGTATGTTTCAGAAGTTTAATGGATATTAGTGATATTCATATACCAGATCAAGACAAAAAAATCTTGGATAGTATGCGGCGAAAGCGTGTAGAAAGGCAGCATGGTGAGGATCTAGCGCACCGAGTAAATGTATACTGGGAACAAATGCGCGAAGAAGAAAAAAGATTGACAAGAGAACAAAAACAAAAATGGCAAAACTTTATAACGTCAAAACGCAATATAGAAAACGGTATGAACCTCATGCGGTTAGAGGAACTACGCAAGGCCTTTGAAAATAATCAAAGACAATTGGAAAAACAGATTAGACAAAAAGATGAAAAAGTTAAAAATCTTAAAGAACAAATTAAAGATCGTATGGTAGGTATTTATAGTTTTTTCATATTAATTAAGGGGCATGCATTACTGTGGCGGAATCAGGAGACAAGTAGGCCATGGTCTTACTTTTTTTTTTCGTCTTCAAAACCGGAGTAACAGATCATTTTTAAGTTAAAATTATAAGTATAAATAACAGCATTACACATAAGCTATAGCTTAACATTAAATCGATTTGTTAAAAAGTTAACAACTATCAATACAAAATAAAATAAGGGACATTGTTCTTTATAAATAACTAGCTGAATAAATCGGCTTCGCCCGTGTGCATTTTTTTGTGTTACCTACGCATAACTTTTTATTTTATCTGTTTTATACTATAGGTTACTTTTAAATTTGTTGACCCTAGATTGTCCGTGTATAGTAACCAGAAATTGGCGAAAAATTAGTATATTTTAGTATTTCGAAGACAAATTGTAAAATGCAATTCTAATCGAAGGAATGTTAAAATAAAATATGCCTACAAAATTATAACTTACTATATAGATTTTTCAGTTAAAAAAATATTTTACGTATTATTATTATTATTATTATTATTATTATTAGCATTATTTTTATTGTTATTAAAATTATTATGTAATAGATCACCTTATTTTATTAAAAATATCAAAGACACTAAAAACAGGATCACTAATAACACGCGCCATCGTGATTATATTAAAATCGAAATATAATAATAAAATATTATATTATAATATATTATCGATAGAATATTGAATATGGACATTAATATATATCCGAGATATATTAAATATTATCATTAAATATATTATTATATTAACTTTAACAAACAGGCATAATAAAAAATATACTTGTAATATCTTTATGATACAGTTTTAACAATAACTATTTAAATATTTATAGAAAATGCACTATCCATGTTGCATATAAAAATATAATTTTCTATACATTTTTTCAATTTTCATCCCTTTTAACCCCTTTAGGGGTTGAATTTTGAAATATTCTTTCTTAGGGGTTTTCGGCATCATAAATTGAAACCTAACCTAACCTAACCTAACCTAATTATAATTTCAGTGGTTCCGACTAGTTGATTTTTTTTATTTTTACTCTTTTTACACCTTTTAACTCCTATAGAGGTTGAATTTTGATAAATCCTTTTTTAGTAGGTGTCTACTACAAATTTCTTGCTTCAGACATTTCGAACTTTATTCTAATAAACTCGTGACTTAGTGTATCCCTATAAAAAAAATCACACGGTGTCAAGTCGCAAGATCAAGGTGGATAGTTTTGGTCTCCCCGCAACGAGATTAGTTTGTCCAGGAACTTCTCACGCAGCAGAGTGATTGTTTCTCTTGAAGTGTGACAAGTTGAAACCTTACATTTTTTATGTTAATTTGGTCCAAATGAGGCCATTGAAAATTACTGAGCTCATTACTTCTTGTATGATTACAATAAGACGGCGCAACCATAGGTGTGCGCTCGGGGCGAGCCCCGGCTTGACAGGAATTTTTTTGGGGACGTAGTAAAATTCAAACTAACAATAGTAAAATGTCTGTATATATTTTAATATGTATGTGGAAATCAATTAATTGTATTTATAAAATTTGATTTTAAAGAATTTAATGTTTTACTTTTAACTTCAAAAATATATGTTTAAAAATTAGCAATTTCTAATGATAATAGAATCTTATCATCTTGATTCTTAAATCCTGCGTTCTTTTTGAGACACTCTATATCTATAGTAAACATTATACGATAAGCAACTAAATATACATATAATTGGCACCATATTTTTTCTTCGAATTTTCCTTTCAATCATAGGTACAAATAGAAGGGTTAACCCCTGAAAAATCTTTCAAGCCCTTCCTTAATTAAGAACATTTACATTATCTTGCCATTAAAAATTACACCACAAAATGTAATTTTTTTCCTATATCACTTATATCACCTATATCCACTTATGCTTTGAAAATATTTTCCTTTTTTATTTATTCCTAATTTAATAGATACATTTATGAAAATTTATAAATTTTATAAAAATAAAATAAAAATAAATGAATGCATAGTTTGCAGTATTATGATTTATGTATTTTATCACCGGTATTGAATAAAATATTTATCATCAGGTGATTCACAAAGTAAAATAAAATTACGATTAATTTTTTTGTTTTTTATCTTGGTGAATTACCTAATTTTAAATTTTTAATTTGAAACTGGTCGTACAGTACCCAAATCATAATACTTCAGGTCACGCAGTTGTTTATTTATTTATTTTTTTCTTTATACTATTTATTTGTATACGAGTACTTATATAAATTTATGAGTAATAACCACTTTTTAAATTTTTGTTTTATATTATTATTTTATTATTAAATATTTATGGAGTAATCTTATATAAAATTTTCTGTAAAATAATAGATAATTGATGTTTTTAAAACAAAAAATAATAATTATTAATAAACAAAAAACAGCAAAGTTTCAAGTATAGCTGTTTTTTATAAATTAAATGTAGGTACATGTATTTTACAAGTAACTAAAACAAATGTAATTAATTGTATAAAAAATAAAATGCCTTCAAAAATGGTATAGGATAAAGGATGGTACATATACAATGGATGAAGAATGATTAAAATAATTAAGAATTGATGATACATCCTCTAACTAATTTATCTCCTATATAATTGCTTAATAAACATATAGAGAAAAAAATTGTTTAATTTTATCATAATTTTACTTTGAAAATAATTTAAATTCTATAAGGTCGGTGTCTCAAAGTGATAGTCTCCTCCACTTCTTTATGTGTACGTCGCTGCTTATACAGTTGTACCATTGATTAGCTTGTACCTATCGTATAACTTTCAACTTTTATTTTGGTTATTTTTCCCAAAAATAAGAAATCATTAGTCATCAAAAATTACTATTATTAATTTATATATATAAAAATAGCATAATTTAATTAAATTCGTGATTTTTTTTATAGCCAAATGTATTTTTCCATCAATTCCTGCTAGATAACAATCTGTCTATAGGCTAATTATATTATATAAATATATTATAAATAATATTTTAACATTTTCTATAAAACTTTAAATTACTTGTGATTATTGCTCGCTATTAATATTTTGTTTATTTTAGACATTTGAAAATTCACTAAAACAAGATATAGAATTAAAAAAACATACAATCGTGGGTGACAATCATTTTTATGATCAAATGAATGATATTAAATATAAAATGAAAATGCAAGACTTAAATCTTTTGAAACAAAAAAGAGCGGATGAAATAAGAAATAAATCACTTCAAAGGAACCAAGAAGTAATTTTTAATTATTGGGAACTTTTGATTTCCGATAAATTTTTATTACATTTTAAAGTTTTTTTCCTTTTAAAAATTATAAGTACTGAATACTCATTTTATACTACTAATAGTTGTATAGTTATTACTCACAATTTACATAGAACTAATTATGTTAAAAACCTAGAATAACGAGAATCTGAGTAATCGCATTTTCATAAAATGTATAACTATAGTTATTTTATTATATTTAAAATATTTTTTAATGAATACTATATAATTAAAACAAAAATTGTAATTTAAATTAATTTTGAAAATAAAATATTTTTGAAGTATTCAGATAATTCGAATGACTAAGAATCCTGATTAATGATATGTTTTTATAGAATAATATACTATGATATACCTATTTATAATTGTAGGCATTGTTAAATATAATGTATTTTAAGATTATAAATTATACATAAAAGTTTCTAAAAAGTTAAATTATATTACATTTATATATATATACTTTTTTTTTAATTGATCCTTAAGTCCGGCAACTATTGCCATTAGTTGTTTATAAGGTTATTATGGGTTTTTTGAAAATATTTTAGAACTTTAGGTTTGTAACGCATGAGTATTTGTGTTTTGGTAGAGTTTCGAATGGACACCCGTAGGTTTCTGCCATGCTCGGTTGGGGGATGGCGGCATCTCTTTCCAGACAGTTGTCTGCCCAGAGAGAAGTACCACCCATGAAATACATTTATATTATTTTATAATGATTGTAATTTATATATTTAACTATTTTACTAATACCTAGAGAGTAATGTCTTCAAATCGATTGGAGGAATTACGACATATAGCACAATTAGAACTGATGCAAGCACAGCATGATGATGTGATTCGTCGTAAGTTTGATGAGTGTCAAGCAAAAGAACGCCGAGCTTTTAAAAATCATCTAGACAATATGACAATGCGAATGAGAGATCTAGCGACAAAAAGGTGAACAAATATATTAATTTTCTTTAGCCAATATACATTTATTATTATTATTAACAAATAACTATTAGCTTACAGAGAGAACAGCATATGGACCAAGTTCATAGAGTAGCTAGAGAGTTAGAAGATGGAATGCAAAGATGGCAAGATCGAATAATGTTAATGCAATATGAACAATTGAGAAAAGCAAAAGAAAATGCAGCACTATACACCGATAACAAAAAACTAAGGGCTGAAATAAATAATAAACGTAGAGCTTTAGAGCATTCTGCTAAAATACAAAGGTGAATTATTCTAAATGAGATTAAATCAAAAAAGTATTGTTATTAAGTGTATAATATCAATACCTATCAACAGTTGGTAATATACGTATAATGTTTAAAAAGGCAAATCAATAACGTTTGTTTAATATTTTCTTTTTTGAATGTACCCATTTATTTTATTGTGGGCTGACGTTTCAAACATATTATTACAGGTGCTACCTTCAGAGCATATATTTACCGTTTCACTATTATTAGTTATTAGTGGTGGCTAATGATATATTTTTAACAAACAATATTATTTTAATTTTTTTTATATAGAGTGAGACTGAAAAAATATTGATATAAATTTCAAATGGGTGTACAGAAAAATTTCAAGTTGTTCCCATACAGTTTTTTTCTTTATCTTATAGAAATATCAACGCTCGAAATTTAAGATCTAATTTCTTAGTAACAGGTGTAACGTGGTCGGGGGTGACCAACTAAATATATGATATTCAGTACTACTACTCCTTTTGAATATATTTTATCATAGATCGAGAATATAAAAGGAAAGGATCTTAATATTACAAATAAATGCAGATTAGTTTAGATAATTGTAAAGATTTAATATATAAAATAACTTACGAGTATGGATTTCTAAATCAAAACAATACGGAGTTTAGTACATTTACACCAGATAGTCGTTGTGGTCGAACTGCCGCGTCTTACTTATTTGATATTAGCCGTTGGACTTATAATAGTGATATATGATAAATGCCCTAGTTAGAACGTAGTGTCCACTTAGCAGTATACATATATCTGTAGACTAATAACTAGAGCTGGAATTTTAATGCTCTACAAAATAGCAAACAATGTTCAAAAAAACAAAAACAAAATATGCTCTGAAAATGTATAAAAAGTTAAATTTGTCATAAAATGCAAAAAAAATGTAAAATAAAAGCTACATTAAATTAATCAGTGTCACTTGAAACAATTTTTTTTCTTACGGACCTATGTGTTGAGGCATCAGAAAAAATATGTATTTGCATCAAAATAATATTCAGCCCTACTAATAACCATGTAACAGTCTTTTAATTGTAGTTAAAAAATGTGAATCTTATTTATTAAATTATGAATCCACTGAATAATTATAATTAACCTATGTGCTATTGATGTAATTATGTACTTTTCTCTACTCTGTGACAATTTTAAACGGTTTCGGTAATTCCAATAATTTTTTCATATTTTTTAACTTTTCATAAGTTGTAAAAAAAGTTATCAATATTTTTGTTTATACATATATTATACTATTAATAATATTTTAATAATATAATAATATAATATTATTAAATTTTATATTTTTATAGACTATCGACCGTTGTAATCGTCCGTCAACTATATTGTTCCGATTACTGATATCGCAATATTTTAGATAATTATTTTTAAATATAACCATAAAAAATATAAATGATATCGACATCCAATCAAATTATCGATATCGTCGGCCAACAATATTTCTTAATATTTATTAATTTATATATAGGTACATCGGCAAGGAAAATACAACTTCTAACTATGGTTTATATTATTTCAGTTTAAATTTTCAACTACTCTTATAAGGTTTTTGGTTTTAATTACCTACTTAGCACAATATTTTGAACTTTAAAACTATCATGAAATGAATAAGTAGCAAATTTTAAACTAAAACATATAATATATTTTTAGAGTGAAAGAAGCAGAAAGAGAACGTTTGCGTAACATAAAAAAAGAAATTGAAGAAGAAGAAAAAAAAATCAGTAGATTAAAGCAGAAAAAAAATTTGAAAATTCAAATGAGCCGAAAATTAGCTTTGAGTACAGCTGAATTAAGAAAAGAAATTCGGTTAGTAATATGGGTATTTAAGTATTTTGTGTTCAAATTTTATATTTTTAATACTATTTAAATATTTTCTTTTTATATTTAGTGGCAGTACGGAATTGGATTTGTGTAATCGTCGATGAAAATATGTACTCGTATTATATTTAAATTATTATTATTTATTTAAATATTAGGTATAAACAAATAAAGGTAAATTAATTAATTTTAATAAATTAAGTATGTAGCAGATATTTTAAAATAAATTGTTATTCAATAAATGTTACTTCTATTTCATAATGAAAATATAAAATCATTATACTATTTTAATCATTAAATAACATCAGAAACGAAAAATAATCAGTTTAATCGTTGGACTGAATATAATGGTTAATAAGGAGTTCACGAGGGTATCAAGGAGACGAGGTTTTTTTTTTTTTGGGAGAGTGACCAAAAAAGTTATGAGAAACGGTGACTTCAGGAATATGAGGTATACTAGGTATAAGCTGTCATATAATTGTAACCAAAGGTCAGAACGATAAACGAATATAGAAAATGAGTTAGCTACTGATACGAGAATAGGAAGAGTTTTGCGATATTGTCGCGTCGTTGCCACCAAGCTGTCTACCGTTTTTTTTCCGCAGTTAAACTTGACAGACGTTCCGCCCAAAATGAATAGGTAAAAACAAGGTACATGTAAATTCCGCCGGGAAAAATAAATATTTTTAAACTAAGCGTTCCATAACTGTAATGTTTGAACGAACATGGAACAATCGTATCTCAGACAATAATCATCAATTATATCATATCTTATGAGCTTTGTCACATATTATGCTAAATATTGATGTTATATGTGAAATTTATTTGAATTTATTTAAATACGTACTTAATACTTTTGTATTTTTTTTTTTTTATATTTTAATACTTACTTATAAATTATAATGATTAATCTATGTTGTGTCAATTATAATATGATTAATAAAACACATTCAGAAATTTGTTTATTAACAGTAAGTAATAAATGTATTCTTTATAAACATATTGGATATTATACCTATACAGTTTTTATTGAAAAATACAAATAAAAGTAACTTTAAACTTTTAAACTTCATTAAGTAATAAGAACTTTTTATAATTTGTAAGTTATATGTAAGATGTGTTTATTAACTATCAATTTTTTTCGGGTGGAATTTACATGTCTGTTTCTTTACCTATATTTTTTTGGACGGAATTTACATGCGCCCGTTTTTAGCAGTGCTAATAGTTTTTTATATATCACGTGCCGCCCGTTGTGGTGTCTTGTCGGTCAAGATTATACTTTGGCTTTACGTGAATTGTGTACCACGTGGCTCAATCCGTAGTCGTTAACAACACGTGCTCATCCGTCAGATTGTTGATTGGGGTGCATGTAAACTCTGCCATAAGTACTTTTTTTACTGTTAAATCCGCCACAAGTATCTTTTTTACTGTAAACCCCTCCAGTAAAAAAAATATATAGTTATGTCATGCATGTAAACTAAAATCATTTGATACAATTTGTAAATATTCTAAATCTTGTATTACTCCTTTAGTGTAGGTACCTATTTATATCATCCTGTAACACTGTCATTTTTTTTTATTTCGAATTTTTTAGCTTATTTACTTGAGATATGCCATTTAGTTTTATATAAGTATGTATTTGAAAGTAAGAACTTTACTAAAAATATGAACATTCGGTTGACTTTTATAAAATGAATTTTTTAGATGACTATGAAAGGATTCACAGGCAAAATACAAAAAAAAAAAAAAACTGGCGGAGTTTACATTAGACCTTTTATTATCTTTTTATCGTAACCGATATTCTGGCGGAGTTTATAATCACCCGTTGATTGATCTCCCTGGTGCCTCCAGTCTCATGATCTGCCAGTCGAGGTGAAGAAGTGCCGTCCGGAAACAACTACCAAGTTCCAATTCGGATCCATGGGCGTCCCCAGACATTTTTCTAGGGGGGGGGGCAAAATTAATTTAAAAAATAAATGAAAATTTTTTTATACATTTTATTTATAGTAAATTATTATATTTCGTCATTATTAAAATTATGGGTTAAAATATTACTGACATTTATGTATAATGTACAATTAAAACATCACTCAAGAAATACATTAAGATAAAATAGTCCGATTATTATTAATGATAGTTTTCATAAATAGCCGTCAGCCGTGCGTTGACATAATATGTTATGGAAACTTAGTAGACCTATTTTTAGAAATTAATTTATCATTTGGAATTTTACCAATTTCTGTGGAAATAACATTATTCCAGGGGGGGGCAAGTGCCCTGTCTTGCCCCCCCCCCTGGGGACGCCCATGTTCGGATCTAGTCTTAAGTGCTGGAGTGGTTTCGCGTGATCGTTGCGACTTAGATGTCGCTAGGTCGTTTATTTATTTATTTATTTTTCATTCATGCCAGTCATATGGCGCTTCATAAATTGTTGATAAGATGCAAAATCTATAGTAAGATCTACGGAAGATTTCTTAAATCTTAAATGCGCAGAAATATTCGCGCGGTCTTCCTCTAATTCTTCTACCATTTATTTCCCTATCTATAATCATGGTGATGAACTAATTGTGTTTTAGTAGACGGCCAATCAGCTTCATTTTCCTTTTTATTTTTGTGTTCATCATTTTTCTTTTCTTACTAATTTAACATAACACTCTTTCAATCGTCTTATTTTCTATCCAGCTTGTTTCTGATATATTCCTCCACATCCACATATCCGTCGCCTCTAGCATATTACTTTTATATTTATCCATCGTCCAAGTTTCACAATCATATAGTAATATACCTACTCCAAATGTATGTTTCTATGCATTTTTTTCTTGAAATTATACTCAGTTATTTTTTAGTAAGTAATATTCGTTATTTTTTTAAAGCTTGTTTTGTAAGTGTGTTTTGTCTTCTTATTTCTTTTATAGCTTTATTTTCATCAGTTATCAAGCTTCCTATGAAGCAGTACTCGTTTACTTATTGTATATATTCATTGTTGATCGTTATGTTAGTATTTGTTGATACTTAATTATGATACTGAATTCCCAAAGATAATTGCCCACGCCCAGAAAATGATGGCAATGTTTGTGTCGTCATATGTGTGCGAACAGACTTTTTCGATCATGAAATTGCGGAAAAACTCAATCAGAAACCGATTGACTGATGAACACCTTTTCGTACTGCTTAAAGTTGCTTCATCACAGCTGGAACCTGATTTTGAAAATATTATGGAAAATCAAAACCAATTATGTTTCACACGCCTACCATGGTAGGGCCTTCGATTAAAATTAAAATTATGTAAAAATTAAATGAATTATTATTTAAGGCAAAAGGTAATTTGTAAAATTTGAGTGTAATTCTGTAATGTTTTTATAATATGATTCAAAGCTTTAGCACAAAATGCATTTTTTCTATAATTCTAGCCCTCCTCTAGAATTTCTTAAACTTTGTGGCCCCCCTATTAAAAAAGTTTACCCACCACTGTTATAATCAAATAAAAGTCTTTATTTATCTAAAGGATAAACTATATATATGTATTTTAAAATTTAATTCAGTTATCATTAGTATGTTAATAAAACAGTAATAATAATATACTAATGATGACTCATTTTAATTACATATATTTTTACATATTTTGTTTTTTTGTTATGTATAAATCCCAATCCTAAATATTATGAGTTGTAAATAAATTAGTTTTGTCTATTTTTAGAATCGATAATTTCTATAATTATTTTCATCCATAATTATACCTTATAGCGAATGCGTAATATGCAAACTCAAACATTTCCGTTGTTACTAAACTAATTTAAATAAAATAGTATTTTTTTCAATTTTAAGACAGTTTTATACGAAGAAATATCTTATAGTATGGCCAGAATCATTACTCTTTCAATAGTATAACTTTTGTCAATCGTTTTTTGAGAAAATTAATGAGAAATATTTATGAGTATAATGCAGATTATATGGATCTTACCGAATCTAACCTAACCCTTCAACCAAGTCTTCAATTTTTGATAATACTTTTCTACTTTTTTTTTTTAAACAGAAGATTTATCCCTTATATTACAATACTTAATAAATATTTCAAAAATATCAAAAAAAAACATTGAAGTATGCACTAAAAGATAAAGTATGCAATTAAAAATGTAAAATAAGACTTTAAAATAAAAATAAGTAGATAAATATCGAAATATGCAAAAATATGCTCTAAAAAAATTTGATTGTTTAAATTGTTATGTCAAATAAATGTTGTGCTAACTTAGCATATCATACGACTAACCAGAATAAATATGCAAATGCATATAAATCCACGCTCTACTTATGAGATAGCTAGAGTGCTTGGAAATGATCCAGAAATACAGATATGAGTATCAAAATAACATGTCAAGGAAATTAAGATAATTATTATATTTTTTTATAATTAATCAATTTTAGGTTGTATTCGTTTACTACTTTGTTCATTATTTTATTTAAACTTTAAATACTGTTAAATAATTAATTTCTGGTGCGATATTCTAATTTATTCTACATAGAAGTATTCAATAACACATTCTTCTTAAGAATTCAAAATTAAATATATATACGAGTATTATATAAAAGTCTTTAAAAGCTAAAACGATACAAAAACCTTAGTAGTAAAGCGATAGAATTTAATAAGGAAAATACTATCGATGAGGGAAAATAATACTCAACATTATTATTACCAATTAAAGATCGTATTAAAATCATAGAACCGTATCCTGGAGGATACTGATATTTATTAGGGCAGATCATTAGCGACATC